TATATTTTGAGTGTAATATTTTGAGTGTTCTGGTACGTGTACTAAGAATTAATTGCCTTTTTTTGTTATGGCTTTGCCTAGTTAATCTTTTATCGAGATTAAGACTTAAATATTTTATTGCATCGAGAAAATGAATTGGTAGATTAGTGCGGATATTTTAAGACGAACTCTATGTCTTTGGGTGAAGGTCATAATGAACAGATTCTTTTTGATTTAGCTTTATTTCCAATTTTGCGTATCATTAAGAAAGTAAAAAGAAATCATAGAATTTCTAAGGCAATTAGTTGGTGTTTATAATATAAATTGAAACAAAATGGAATAACCACATGTTCTATTAGTTAGAAGTGACGATCTTTAAGAAAAATTTAATTTATAGTAATAGAGTAGGAGGAAGAAATTTACAGAATTTTATTTCAAAAACAGACTTTCATGTCGAACTCTGTCAAAAGTCTTAGAGATGCCTTAATAAATCAGTAGTAAAATACAGTTTAATTTCCAGTAAAGAATAGATTGCATCAATTTGATTATTCTATCAACCTAATGAATCACGTTATGTTTGGATTTAAAATCAAATTAGGAAGTTGGGAGTATACTGTTTGATATTATGAGTGGATAAATACGTTTGAGGATTAGTCTTTCGCAAACTTTTGAAAAGTATGATAAAAAACTTATAAGTCTATAAAATTAAGATATGTCTGGAAGTTTAACCGGCTTGGCAAACATTATTATTTGAGAGAATTTTTTGAATCTTTGAAAGTATGAGAGTCTTAGAATAGCATTGAAAGTATACGTTAAAATTATTATGGCCTTGTTTAGAAGACAAATAGCAACATTAGCTAGTTTCAGATCAAACCCAAAAGACTTTTTACGCGAATACTTTGAGATTATATTTTTAACTTCATCAGGATTTAATGGATTTATCAAGACGTACGTTTGGTAAGGTACAATTTAAGTAATTTTTAACATTGTTAAAATGTGAGAAATATAGATATTTTCATGTGGTTGATGTTTTTTTAGAGAGATGAGCTTTTGAGAAAATTTTTGCTTTTTTATTACTTGAAATGGTTAACGTTTGTTCACATTAATTAATACAATTAAATAATGTTATATTTTAACAAGCAGATAATTTTTCTCCAAAGGTAACCATCGAGCGGAGATAACTTTTTTTGAGCTATAGATAGATAAAAATGTGTTATTTTTATTCAATAAGCTTGAGAATGTAGTACAAGGTTCCTCATAAATTATTGTTACTAGAACTTAGTAAGCATAATTTTTTTTTAAGCATTTAAAATTTTAATTTTGAAAAATTTAAGTTAGTGGAAATAAAATAATATTAATAATATAGAATAGTATTTCACTTACCAATTTTAAATTAAGGATGTATGTTATCATTATGTTATGTATAATATATATAATATATATATTATACATAACAATATATATTATATTGTTATGGTGCAACATCATAACTGTTAAAGTATAACGTCGGAAACTTGTAACGCATAAACGAAAAGACGCGGTTCTACGTCACAAAGAACCAATCACACGTATATATATATATATATCGGACACTTTTGTAATTTACTTAATAAATTAGTTTTCTCTTTTTAATCTTCAAAATTTCAACCTAACAGTGGTGAAGTACAGAAAAATCCAAAACACGACGATCAACGTAACCGATCCAACCGACGAAGCGGAGCAAGAAACTCCGGCATCAGCGTCGACATTCGACGTATTGTAAAGACCGATCCGAAGAGTGAGCAGATGGTGAACCGCAAGACCCAAGCCGTCCGGCGCACATCAACGGTGCCCGATCGATCAACAGACAACGAACGGCCGACGAGACCTTGATACTTCGAGGAAGTGCTAGGACACGGGAATAACCATGACCCCACAAACATAGACAGTTCGCGTACCATCGACGCACCATGTCCCATCGTTCCCCCCCCTCTGCAACCATTCACGAAGTTTCGCCGCACCGAGCAGTAGCCACTGAATATAGTTACGTTCTGCCGATGGTCGACTATGTCCTCGCAACCTGTACTAACCCAACGATTAACATCCTTGCATGTGTGGTCGTGTGTATAGGACCGAACTTTGAGTTAGTCGTGTTCGAGCCTCTTGCCCACATCAGCACACATTAATTAGTCCAGCCAGCAGCCGACGTCCTGCAACGCTCGCTGCCCCGACAACTATACATACGACATGGGTTTGCTTCGAAACAATAAAATAAGACGTGATAAACTACATTACGCATTTTTATTTGCCGGGACAGTCAGTCTCTGCGGAATGTACTGTCTCAATATCTTTTATATGATAAAAGACTAAAAACTTAATCACTTGAAAAATATTAATATAAAAAAAAAAAAAGATTATTTCTAAAATGTTTTTTTTTTTTTTTAAACGTTAAATTATGTCAGCAAAATAAATATTTTTAAAAACATAAGTTTTATCTAAAATGATAAGTGACTAATGTTAAATGGATACAATATTACAGCAACGTAGTTATCTACTTTACCCCTTTTAATATTAATCAAATTTATCCATCTATTTTGAAATATTGAATGTTAAATCAAAAACTATACATCCTTTTAACTGGTAATAAAAATGTTTAAGTTTATCGAGTAGACATAAACATAAATTTAAATCGGTTTTTAAAATTCTTATCGCTTAGTTACATCAATAGGTATATTAGAAACGAGTTTCATGGCATGTCCTAAACATACAATAAAATGTACTACAATGAAATCTTATCTACTCACACACTTTAAGTGATATTCATATTTTCTTAAGACACTCTAATGTATCTTCATTTCCCGCTCCCATAAATAGTGTTGAAATATAACACAATTTAAAATTGTAAATTCAATGGTTTGTTATGAACTTTTAAATTTTAGATACAATAAAATATAAATAAATATAAATTCCTAACATTTTTAATTTTACTGCAAATAAAATAATCAAGTGATTGGTTGATTGGTTTCAATATTTTACAGTTATTCGTTTTTGAATTACAATAAAAAAACAAAAAATCGTTTGAGGAGGAATAGTTATTATACGAATATCTTATGTCAAAATTGTAATCTAATAATAATTTACACAAACGTTAATATGTTTTTAAATAATATGTGTCTTACATTAAACGGACCACTCAGTATATATTACATACTGTTAACTAGCTATGATATCCTTTTCGTTTAACTCTACACCCTTAACGTTTCCCTATAATATAACCGGTGCAGTTTTCTTGCTAAATATAATTACGTATATTAAAGCGAATTTGTCGTATTTTATTGTATTATATATGATGTGTATATTGTATACGTATGTACTTGCTGAAATTTAATTAAAGCCTTGTAACATAACATATATTTTTAATTAAATATTTGTACAGGGAAAAAGGTATTTCTAAATTGCTTTATAGGAACGTATTAATCATGATTATTAGAACAGAAATTTAACACATAATACATAACTAGCCACCCTATTTTTGATGTAGACTCCAAATTACCAAGATCCAGTAACCAACTTTTAGTAACTTACATTAAACAATTTTCAACCTATGATTTCACGGCCAAAATCAAAATCTTAAAATTATTGCAACAAAAAGCATGACGACAATCGCCGAATATACAAGTAGCTGAAGTAATTGACAAAGTGTAATTCAGATTGGTATTTCGTTTTTATAAAATTCATTTTAAAGTCATTTTAATTTTATGCTTGATCTGTGTATTATATTTAGCTCTCAACAAGCATCAATTTAAACTTAACAATTATAGCCAATGACTGAATTTATTGCAATTCACAATAATCTCCTTAATATTTTGAATTTATCGGTGAGGCGTGAGGCAAATTTAATATGATCAATGAGACTTATTCAATAATATTTTAGTAGTCTCTGAATGTTTGAAATTTTGGATAAGATTATTAAAAAGATTTATTACGTAAGTTGCGCAATTATTTAAAATGGTTTTAATTAAAAGAATGCCACACCTATATGAATTATCTCCGTCTTACTTAGGTGAAACATGGTAAAATTTCTAACTTTATTTGAGTAAATAAATCTATAACCAAACTTAAAAGTAAGAACATATTATTTATGTTTTTACGTTGTTGTACGTTGATTATTTGCTATATACTGATTTTTAAACGATGTTTGAATACCTATTTAAATATTACAATACTTGTAATATTTATGAGTATGAATCATTATTCTGTTAAAAATTAAAATTTTGCATTTGGACTTATTAGGCTTAGTTGCTTTTGTCAATAAAATAGTAGGTTGCACTTTTTTTACTGTTAGTTTCTAAATATTATTAACTGTAATTTGTAGTCTCTATTTCAAAATTTTGGATTAAATTGCATAGAGGTCAGTATTAGTCAATGAAAAAATAATTTTTTGAAATTTTAGTGTTTCTTTTTTAGTTAGATCCAAATTATATAAGCTAATGAAATGCTTTCGATTTTTGTCCCTGTATGTGCCATACCTGTATGCTATATTTTTATGCATTTTTATTTAAAATTTCGTCTAATATAATAATAATAATAATAATAAATATTATATATAAATTAAAAAAAAAAATTACCATTTTTATGATAAACTTTTAAATTATTTAACGTTAAGAAAAAATTATAATAAAAGTTTGTAAATAATATTAAACCAAAAAATATTAAAAAGTACAATACATCAATATAAACATTAAAAAAAAAAAAAATAATATAGGTACTTAATAATTCATGAAAAAGTTTTAAATATTACTACAAGAGAAAATAATATTTATATGTATATCTAATATTAAACGAATTCTCAGAGTACAATTATTATAAATTTTTGCATAATATATAGGTAGCTTTTAATTAAAATTAGTAAATAATAAATATGTTAATTTATCATAAAAAGTATAGTCAATTTCTTTGATATTAGTTTTTAAATATTTAACTTTTGTGCGTATTAAAATTATAGATACCTAAAAATTACGATTATGACTATAAAATAATATTTAAATCAAATTGTCGTCAGTATCTTCTTCTTCTTCATCACAATAATATCGTTCATCGCACCATTTAAGCCATTCTATTGTTGACGGATAACTGGTAATGTTTTCTAAACGATAGTCTGAAACTTCCTTCAATGTTGACAAGTAGGACTTTAACTTTTTGTTTGGAATATAAATCAACAATGGTGAAAAGATCCTAGAATATCATAATATTAACATTAGTTATCAATAGTGTTTAAATTTATTTTGCTTAAACATTAGATTGAATTATAATTTCCAATCCACAAAAGAATAACAACTATTATTTCAATGTATATAGGCAGTCAAAAAGTTTATTTTATTGAAGTAAATTTGCAAAATACTAAATATGTTTAAATCAATCCACACACCATTTGTTGCTTACGTTTATAAATTATCGTACACATAACATTATCACAATATCTGGATGATAAAAAAATAATAAACAGTATATTATAAATAATATGTTCAATTAAATTATTCTTATTATTATATGCGAGGTTATACAGTTACCTTTAGCTAGTAAAAATCAAAAGTTTAAGAAAAAAAAGTAGCAACATCGGTTTAACACACACATAATGAGTAGATAACAACAATAATGCATTTTAATGTAAAAAATTGATTTGTGTATTTTTAAGAAAAAAAGATGTTAATCATTTATAAATATTAACACAATAAATTGTCCCCTATAATATAAATTCAGTGTTCCGTGACAATGAATTAGGTACGCTAAATAATTCAATAAGTATATATTATTTTTTAGACTTATTCTTGAGTGAACATGGTTGTTCAAATTGATTTATGAAAAAAAAAAAAACAACAACAAACCTTTACTAAAAACATTTAATAAAAGTACTAGTAATTACTGTATTTAGTTTTTTGGGGCGAAAGTGTATTACTATGTGTAACTACTAATCATATGGTATTAAATTCAAAAATATATAATTGATTGTAAAAAAGGTTACTGGGCAATATAAATTACAATTTACAAAAACAGAAAACCTATTCAAAAGTCATTACCTTATGATTAAACACAATATGTTTAACTTTCGATTGATTATTTGTAAATTTTTAAAGAGACTGAGATAGTTTTAAAAAATATAATGTAACCACTTAAATTTTTAAGTATTTTTAATAGTTTTATGGTGATTCAGTTAAACGTTTTAAATCGTTATTTTGAAAAATGTTTTTTATGTAAATAATTAATTAAATTTCATAAAAGTTTCAAATAAAGTTATTATTTATCTCGTTAATAACATTTTTAGTTTTTTTTTTGGCAATATATTTCTAATGTTAAATTTTAAAGCAAAATATCTATTTTGTAGAATTTCAAAACATAACAATCAAATTTCGATCAAGTATAGTAGTTAGTTATCTATAATTTTATGTATTTAATGTTAAGATGAATGGAGAAAATAGCACCCCATAAAATATTGATCCTCGCTTTTGTACATCTAAATTTAAAATACTTATAAGATATAACTAACAGACAACTTGTTTGATATTAAATTTACGTATGTGTGTTGAAGTTATTTGAAAAATATTTTATTTTGGAATATCACATTACAAATATAAACTGTTTGATAAACTAATGTAACTTAAACAATTGTAAAGATGGATTTGTGCATGATTTATTTTTATATTATACTGTTTTAATCTTTATGATCCTATTATATTATATAGATAATTTGTGAAAAAAATGTTGGAAATACATTTCACGAAAAAAAAATCTATCAATTAAACCGTGGATTAAAATTGTTGTTTGATGTATTTTATACTCGATCCGAGAAAAGTATTTTATTTTTATACCTGATAGTGTCTTTCACGGAACACAGTGTACAATTTTGAACTGGGAATAAATATTGAGTATACTTCTTATTGTCTTATGGAATAGGTCCACGATTAAACTTCTTTGGCCAAAAAAAGTTGAAAAAACAAAATGCCCCAAACATTGTGATTTCAATAGTATGTGTACCATCGTTTCATCTGAACGAAATTACGAGACATTTTACGACAAAGCTAATCGTACTGACGGTTATTACCAGTTCGCCAAAGTGGTTTGTAAACTCAGTGGTCTGGTGCTGGAAATGCGGCAGGCAGTCCTCTCCACACATTTAGACGATTGCACAAAGGCCACGAACCTCAACAAATTTCCAGCTACGTTCAGTGTATCCAGATCGGCAGTGCTTCTCCTAAGTGCCGGATCGGGGACGCTGTCGTTACGTGATTGGATTGCATTACTCAACATATTGTTCAAGTTAGGCATGGGCATGTTCATCGAGGGGTTCATGTTCATCATGATTATGTTCCTCAACCATGAAATCAAGTAGGGCAGGAACGGCAACAAGAAAATTTTGAGAAATTTGCCTATCACGGTTAACTTAGCGAATATGAACCCCTTTAGTATGACCAACAACTTGAGTTTGACCCACAGGAAGATGAGGAACTTGATCGCCGTGAGCACCTTTAGCTTAGCCAAGGCTATCTTGGCTATTGCCATCAACGTTAACTTATGGGCGTCGATAGACATCTTGTTACTGGGTTGCCGGATCTCGGCCACTATGGGTGCGGGTCGCGAAGATTGTGTCGGCGGGTCGCTGAACCAACTGACGATGCCGTTACCGCCTCCGCTACTGCCGATGTTTGCGTTTTTAATGTTTTCTAATTCGTAACTGGTGCTGGTGCCGTAGTCCATGCCGCCGTTGTCGTAAACGTTGTATCCACCGGTCATGCTGGTACTGCCATCCGCTGCCACGTCCGTCTCCATGACCACTGGTCCATATTTTTTAAATTGTCTGTGACTGGGGTAATACCTATAAAACACAACGATTAATTTTGAACATGGATTATAAGAGTGAAACTAGCAGCAAATTACTTCAGCAAGTTTGAATGGTGATAGTGGGGGGAAAGATGCAGGGACATTATATCTCTGAAATTCTAACGGTGCTTAAAAGGCATCCTATTTAGATATACTAGTACGTTAGGGCCTAGTTTGATCAAAATAATTTCCTCTCTTTAAGAATAATAATTTATTTTCGACAAATGTCAACATTTTAGATTTATTTATTTATTATTTACTGTAGTAAATTACATTTTATTGGTTTTGTTAAAAAAATATTAATCATTAAAAATATATAAATATAGTTTCCGTTATATTAAAGATACTGTTGATAAAGAAATCGTTCTGTTTTTTAGGTAAAATAAATAAATAAACGTTTTTATTCCTCAAACTAACAAATAACAAATTCCTTAATGATTTATTTTAAATTTTTTTTGAGACCAGTATAATGTATTTTAAAAATAATACATTTATTACATTATCAGTATTTTATAATGATAATAGTATCAATATCACCATATGTAACTCAAAATCAATAAAAATTCCCTGTTAATAAATTAAAATAGTAAAAATAGATTCATAGTTTAAATATATTATATTATCTTAAATATATATAATATCAAAAACATTATAGCGTACAGTAAAGTTCTTAATAATTTAGTAGGTAAATATAAAAGTTTTAAGTAGCCACGAATGATGTTTTTAAATTATAACAATAATTAACACCTTTTTTTATTATCTACATAAATGTCGTCAATATTTTAATTTAAAATATCTATAAATATTAATTGCCTCCCCATGTTTTTTAGATTTTATGGTTTTAGTATGAATTATTTATGATGTAATTTATATTAAATTTTCAAAAGTTAAGTGCAAAAGGCAAATTATTTTGTGAATTTTTAACTACATAATAATTTGTTTATTTTATGGATTTTATGAATTTTTTTAGAATTTTAAATTAAATTCTCAAACATTTTGACTTAGAAAATAATTTTTTGATCGACATTAAAAAAAAAAAAACTAAAAAAATTTAAAATTTCTTATGGCTGAACAAACTTAACCCGTCGTTGGTACACATGTGAGCGCGCCGCTCACACAGATAGAATTTCGAGCGTTATTCGTACAAATATTATTGAATTAATCTGATACTATACATACCTTCAAATAACATGTCTATACATATTTATAAAAATAAATAATTACGCTATTTGTCATTGTCTATCAGTTATCGTTAGACAAAGTCGACAGTACCGATTAAGTGAGTGTCGCGCTACCACTGTACTAACCGCACAATATTTTTATCACCACCATCGTAGTCGATTACGTACACAGTTTTGTGTATACAGTTTTTTATTTTTATTTTATAAATTATGAAATGTACATAAAAAATATTTATATACTTTTTAGTGAAGGATAAAAATATATATAATTCTAGATATGGTTTGATGTTTTAAGTTAATAGATCAATTAATAATAATATAAAAAGTGAAGTGTGAGCGCTGCGCTCACAGTGTAACAATCATGTTACAAACTATATGTGTACTAACGACGGGTTAAACCAAAGTTTGTCTTCATGATTCACACCCATTTTTTATGCTTCCTTAGATCATATTATATTATAACCACTGTTCTTGAAGTCATGATTTTTAATTACACAATTATATCAAACAACTCCACAGATTATAATTTATGGCAGTTAGCTTTAACAGTTATAAGTTTTTATTTCCAAAATTAACATTAATTATAAATTATAATTATATTTGTGTCGTATGTTTTATTTTTGTTAATTGATATTATTCTCGATTATAATTCATAACTTATTCTTGTTTATCTTAGCAAATATTTACTTATATTTTTAAAATTAACTTAGTGTGAATTTTTTTTTTTTATTATTATTATTATTATTTTTTATTGTTTAATATAATACATTTTATTATTTCGTTGGTTAAATGATTATTTGTTTAGTAATCGGACAGCTCGAAATTGCGTAGTGACATTTAAAATTATTAATTAATTATTTATACTACGATATTTTAAAATACACGAAATAACAATAACATAGTAATAGTTATTAATGTACCATTTTGCAAATTACTAGACTTTTGAATACACTATCATAATATTGTATGAAATACACAAACTAAAAATGAGTAAACTGAATATGCTTCAACAAATAAGTATTTATTTAAAAACTCAATTATATAACACATTTATATCGTTTTGTTTTGTTAATTGATTGTTGTGTTTTTAAAACAATATTCTCATCCAGGTTATTACAATAACAATTTCTGAATACTATATATACCTGCATAAATTGTTAATTAGACAGTCCACCGGGACAATCAATATAATATATTATTACTATGTTATTGTACATTGTAGGTACCTTTCATATTTTAACTACAAAAAAAAAAAAAAAAACAAGAGTACATCGAAATTTTATTCAAAATATACAATTGTTTGTCTGAACTATATTCATAACTATAATTCGACTCTGAATACGCTTTAAAAATATATTATACTAAAAAAAGTATATAAAAATTCAAATTAACCTTTTTTTTTTTTAGATTTTTGGAAATCATATTTTATTTTTATATTTAATTATTATTTTCTAAAATGTTAAATATTTACTTCATTAATTTCTAAAAAAAAATCTGATTATCATATTAACCTAAAATGAATGAAGAAAATTAAAGTCTGTTTTACATAGTCAAATTTTAACATCTATTAGGATACGGTTCCCAACAGTCGTACTGATTTTTTTTGTTAGTGGTTGAATATTATATAACTATCAACCTTAGAGATTATGACAAGAGAATCATCATAATATAATACCTAAAATGATAAAATATATTTTAGCTTTGAATTAATTGCACCTGTTCCATTTTGCTGGCGAGTACCCCGTACGCTGATCTTCCAGGTCCATGGTTTCTTGTTGATGAGTGTTCCTGTCATCCTCGTGCATGTTGTGATAGTAAGGCTGGTGCAAGTGGTTGCTAACGTACTGGGTCCGAGTTACGAACGGCAGTGAATTTGTCGTTAGCGCCGGATAGATGTCAACCTTCGTGGTGACGGGCTGTAGCGAATCGTCATCGGAAGTCTGCTGCTGCAATGTCGATAGCGTTTGGTACTCGTCTGACGACCACTTTTGACCGGTGGTCTTGAGTCCAGCCGACAATAAGTCAAGCCCATGGGCGTTTGTTTTGAGCTCTTGCATGTCCCTGGGAGTTCGGTGGTTGCGCCGTGTGACGTTAACCGTACTTGTTCCGGGCTGACGATCAGTTGGAAAAACGATTGCACCGCAACTAGCCAACAACCCCAACGCCAGCAAAATTACGGTCACGGCCGTCGTAGCGCGAGATTGGTAATCCATTTTTTGTTGTCGTCGATGCAGATCTCTACAACTGTATCTGAAAAATACAGTCGAAATCGTTTTGACGTGAGCGGTTTAGTATTGGTATTTTTTTTTTTTTTTAAACTTATTATACGATCAGGAATTTTAATAATTAGGCTTTAAAAGACACTATATTTTTTTTTTAAAACTACGGACGAAACCGCACAAATCAATATGTAACTTTGGAATTCTGTGTATAGTTACTGTGGTTAATGCGTGCTTCACTTTACTCTCAGAGGTTTGAACTGCGTCTGAACTTGGTCACATCTAAAGATTATTTCCAATAACAAAATTTAACAACGTTAGCCGAAAGGAGGAGTATAAATAATTTCTATAAATTTAAAAAAATCTAGGACAATATCGTATTTTTATAATTTTTTTTTCGCTACATCAAAATTATACCATTTATCTATAATTGCGGAGAAGATAAACCTGAATAACCTATTACTAAATTGATATAAGAAAAAAATCATTGAATAATTTGTAGAATGTCCGCCCGCACACAGCAAATGTGACAAAACAACTTCTTGCAGATTTTGCATGGGAACAATTTAATCATCCGCCCTACAGTCCAGATTTGGCACCCAGTGATTTTCATCTTTTTTTACACATGAAATCATTTATGGGTGACCAGAACTTCAACGAAGATGATGAGGTGAATAAGGCTATTAGCGCATGGTTACAATCACAGGCGTCATCTTTCTATGATAAAGGGATACAAAAACTAGTACCTCGATATGATAAGTGCTTAAATAATGGTGGTAACTATGTTGAAAAATAGAGTAATACATGTATTTTATATTCAAATAAAATTTATAATACAATTTACACATTTACATGTTTTTATTGCCCAACGGAACTTACTTTCTGGACGTACTGTGTATTATATTTAATAAAATATGACTTATAGAATTAATTTATTATGAATTTATTTTTAAACAAAGATCACGTGTGTTCATCGTATACCATTATTAAGTATTATTAAATATTTTTAAAACATTTTATTTATATTTTAAAATTTGTTTATTTTATATATACTAAACGATAACATGGAGATAATATATTAATGCAATATGATAAATGTATTTCTTGGTAAAATATTAGTTTTACGCAAAGTGTACTGTTTAATACGCATAGAGTTTATGAACAAGTTCGTTAAATATCTAAGGAAAAGTTTAAAAATATGCAAGGAGCGTATACCATTGTATATTGCAGTTTACATACATATTATATTTTAAATGAAAAAGATAAATAATGAAAATTTTCATGGGCTATCTATACTCTAAAGAATTTATTAGATATTTAAGGAATAAGTTTTAATATTATCAAACACTATACCAAAGATATATATTAATTGATTCGAAATAATTTTATAACTGATTGACAATAAAATACAACAAATGTATATTATATAAATGAGAGTTTTGTTTTATAAATCATGTAGATTACAATTATTAAAAAAAAAATATATTCACATTTTCGTAAGCATTATTGAGTGAGTGGTAAACAAAAAATATTATATGTATAATACATTAATAAATAATAAAGTGCAATACTAGGTATCATATAATACAATTTAAAACTTTAAAATAAAATATTACTATAAGCTTTTACATGATATTTTATACTAAAATATATCAACCAATTGTCATTGTCACTGTGGGTTTATCTAATAAAAAAAATAAATTAATATGTATTAAAATAATAAAATAATAATCATTTTTTTTTTTTTTTTACTGTATACGTTAGGATGCCACTTATTTCTAACAATTTATTGTATAGTTAAATTAAATTCAATAAATTATAACTGGTTGATTCTGCGTGGTTTTCAATACATTCAATTCTTGAATATTATTATTATTTAAGTTTAAAAGCAAACAAAATATACTAAGTTTAAATAGTATAATGCTGTATTGTTTCTTATGTGTTATGATTTATTTGAAATGGTTTACAAACAACGGAAATACTGTATGAGTTATATCTAGAGCTATATAGTTTAAAGTAAAAACATTTTGTTTCCGAAATCAAATGTTGCGTAGTTATGGAATTAAGTACCCTATAATTGTAACTAGTAGAATATTGGCTATTATAATTTGCATTTAAATAGTTCTGTAATCGATTCTGTTATTGTAATATAGATATGTTCAGTAACAGTATGTACATACTGTTTCGTTTGAAATGTATTTCATCATAAAGCTTTGTTCATAAATATTATTGTATTCTGGTTTTTAATTTTTTTTAAATAAAACATTAGAACATGCTGTACGTTAAAATGTATATTAAAATAAATATATCACAAATATTAAAATTATATTTGATATTTTTAGACAGTAACAAATATTGAGACATAACAAACGTCAATTATCAAATATATGACTACGTTAATATACATACATTCTTATTAAATGTTTATTAAAATGATTACAACAGACACCGCATAAGAGATAACACAGAAAACTTAATTTTTTTAAACGATTTGATTCTAAACCCAGTAATTAAAATTTCTTGTCATTTTTAAAATAACCACTGTATTTAAGATACAAATATATAATACAATTATTACGTCAGACTTTTAAAAATTATTAGGTTACTTTACTTTTATGGAATTTTCTAAACCTTATGGACATTTAATAAAATACAATATTGTATCGCTCAGAAACCTCGCTAGTTTGTTAAAGAAACTGTTGTACCCCATTAATTTTGATGAAGGTTAGTTTAAAAACTTGCAGGGCTCTAAAGTCTCGAATACCTTTACTTGTAATAGAATAACTCGTGGTTAGATATTTATAAATACATACTTATGTTACTACATTAAAATTATAATTTTATTTTACTTAATTGTTATTAAGAACAAAATTAAGTATTTTCTAGAAAATAAAACATGAACAATGTTTTCTACCATTCATTTAATATCATGAAAAAGTCTGTTTTTTCTAATATTTATAATTATCTAGCCAAGGTCCGTACACAATATTGCTCCGTTTGTTAATCAAATACATATCGCAACTTGTGTAGATTAGTTACTTAGTGACCACATTTCACCGATATAAATATAATTTTGGGAGTCTTGGATGATATATAATATATATATAAATTATAACATATAATTGATGCACATTTGTGGACGAACATGCTAAAATTGGTACTCGTAAGATGTACTTATATGTATAATACACAAACTCATTGATTCAAATTTTATGAAACAATATTTTCTACTTGTACATTAGATCGATACACTAAACAAGAATACTGAAGGTAAGGTCGTGTAAAGTAGTCAAAAATGAAAATATGCGCCATTGGAAAAAGGTAGAGGATAAGAAAGAGTATATGTGCAGTGCGCACTTACCAAATTCCTTGTCAAACAGCTAGTTTGTCGAGTGGGCGTTACACACATCACACGCACACAAATACACACACACGATGTATTGCCTGTGATTCATAGCCGATGTTCATACCATGTAATATAGTGCATTGGCAGTGTACATTGGGGATTTCTGTTGGTGTAAGTAAGGACATGCGCTACTATAATAGTGTCTTGTTAGGAGGGAGGAAGGTAGTATTTACGCTAGTATGAGTTTTGTGTACATTATACGACGGCAAAAGTACCTGTACGGTAGGATAGGAACCTCTTGTCAACAATCGAAAACGTCAAGTCAGTAAAATCCACGAGGTGAGCACGTTTACAGAAGAACGGAGGGTAGGCTGGCTGGCTGCTGAACTTAGGAGAGGAATACACTATGAGGACCACAGCAGCAGCAGCGTGTATAGAGATCCCTTTGGCGGTCGCCGTTGCTATCGGCTTGACATAGATTAATAGCTAGTTCACACAATACATTCACTAGTGCACATAAATTCACGCCCGTCGTTCCCCACCCAGGTGACGAGTAGGTATTACACGAGTGCAGGAAAAATAGCTCCTTCCATATATTTTGTACTTGCTGTTGATACTATGTGTTTACCGTCCTCAATAATAACATTGGCTCATTAAAAGAAACACACACATTATACAAGTTGTGTATATATTTGACTTTTTTCAGTTTCCTTCGGTTGGTCTATTGCTTTCGCTCTTTTTCTCCATAATATACTAGATTAACAGCCCGTGAAGTTAAATTAAATTTTTTCTTCAACAAAAGTAAATTGTTCTTAACGATAATAGTGATAGAACGCGACCAAAATATATATATTTTTTATAAAGTGGCAAATGTCGTTGAACCTATTTTTAGTCATACTACCAAAAACAGTTTTTTTAAGTATCCAACGTATTAAATCTAAAAACTAGACATATATTTATAAATAAAAATATTTATGAAAAAAGTATTTTTCTTACTTTTTGTTGAACATATAAAATCAGAGAAAAACAAAATTTATTTTAACTATATTAAAATAAATTGATTATCTTTGATTTTTTGATTTTTAGTTTATTCACCAGTTTTTTAGTTAAATTCTCAAAAATAACATTTAAAATATTCATATTTTTAAAAAAAAATGTTTAATTATTAATATTATATTATAATAAAATGTATTAAAATTATTATTGTTTACGATTGTATCACAAATTTTTTCTTGATAATAATTATTATGGTCAAACATTGTTAAATCCGTTGTTCATTTAAGCTTATATTTTTAACAGTAGACATTAATAATTTATATTACAATAATATTAAAGCTCAGTTTGTTGTTTTTATTATAAATTGAAACATATTATTATTATTATTTTTAATTACACAGTATGTGCAGCCTGAGATAATTTAACTAAAACAAATGACAAATTTAAAATATTTATTTAGTACTTATGGCTTTAATGTTTTGATGAATAATGTACATTCATTTTGTCACTGTAGTATTTAATTATCAACAAAATTGTTAGTAATGATTGTTTAAAATATTACGTTACATGTATAAATGTATAATATTAAATATACACTAACGTAGAAAAATGAAAACGTTTCATATTATGGAGATAAAAAAAAAAAGAAGATTTAATTAGAGTTAGATGAAAAAATATAACGTAT